ATCATACCTCATACCACTCCGTCTGTAGCCCACAATAAGAAAGCTAAGCTAAAAGATGACCAAGCACATATGTTTTAACTTACAGATTTTAGTTTATACCAACTACTTAAGGGACAAGAAATAGTTACTAAAAAAACTCTAATCTAACACCTCTCACTTTAGAAAAAGAAAACTCTGGTTTTAGAAAAGAGCTATTAAGAGACAGTCACAAGTTTTGGTAGGTCATACATTGTTATCAGTATATGTGTACCTTCTTCCTTGTTTATTTTGAATATTTTCAACTGCTGTGCTAAAAAACCATAACATTTTGTGCATTTTTTTCAATAATGTTTAGATAAATTTCTTGACTGATCTAGATATTTTTCTCTCTAACAATGTAAATAAGTTTCAGTAGTAAATTTTTAAATTTGTCTAAATGGCACAAATATCTGAACTATTTCTAACATCAGTTTCTATAAAGTATGAGTAGATATTAAACAACAGAAGCAAATTACACTCTTTTCTCATATCTCCCATATTTAATATATTCATTTTTAATTTTACATTTTTTGTCATTTCACTCATTTTCTAGCGTTCCTGTTTCTAGTTTCTGTCACATGCTCCCTAATATTGAGTACATCTACTACACTATTTGTCCATTACATATGCATAAAACTCTTATTTTTTATAATCATTTAGTCATTCAAAGTTATCATCTTGTCTTTAGTACTAACTGCATATTTAAATGATCATTATAAATACTCATGTTTTTATCATATTAAGTTTTAAATCTTTTTCTTCTAGTGCTTGTCTCTAATGTTCCAGTCTTGGTTGTAGTAGATTTTCCAATATTTCCTACTAACCAACATTATTAAATATATTACACTAAAAAAACCAAATCGGCATACATTAAACACCAAGGATTGTTATCCTGTTATTTCCCTGGTATCTGATCCAACACTAATGAGAATAAAGAGCATTAACACAATTCTATTTTCACATGAAATTTATGTCTCCCATACTTGTTTCTTCACATATTTTTTTATCAATTATTCTCTTCCATTTTTCATGTTGTGACCAAGTAATTTTATAGCCTTTTAGTTTATACACAAATACTAAAATACAGCTTCTCGATTCATCTAGCATTTGTTTCATATCTATGATTCAAAAAAACTTACTAGTCAGCCTACTTATTTCTTTTTCATCAAAAGCAATCTACACTTCCTTATGGATATCATTTCATCTAACCAGAGTAACCTAGTTGAGTTCTAGAATTTATAATCTGTCTTTATGATAGCCAAATTGATGAATGGTCCTGTGGCTAACTGGGGCTTAGTCAGGGTCAGTCATGTTTTTGATGAATATAAAAACAAAAATTTATTTTATAACATATAATTACAAAAATGTACACCTAAAATATTTACAGTAAACAATATAACCTACAATTACATTCTAAATCATTTATTTAACAATTTAAATTTTTCACGTAAAATTTTGAGGAAATCAAATTTTGATATTAATCCATTATTTTTTTTTAAAATTTGTTCACCTACAAATTTTTTTGATTTAACGGTTTGTTCAGAATATTTTTTTTTACTTTTTTCTGTACACTTGTCATTTTAACATAATGCTTCACTTTGAAAGTCTATTAAAACTCTCCCAAGTCCAAAACAAAAAATATGAGGATAGTAAAATAAAATGATGAGGTAAACTTCAAATAAAAACTCTCACATGCATTCATCTTCTGCCACAAATTGCTTGACTTCTCCACCCATATTTCTTGCAGAACCATAGCTGATTCTGATACATAATTATTGACCAGATAGTCCATAAATTTCACTATTCTATGATTTTGTGGTTGCATTGATGACAAAACAGTCTCCTACATCTTCTAGGAAATGGCATTCCAAAGCAGTATGTTGAATATTTTCCTACATAAATGGATTTGTCCTTGTGTATAAGAATGATTATATAAGGTATAAGATGTATAATATAAGGATATAAGAATTGGAAAAGTCTATTAAAAGACGGCTCCATAATCATCCTACCAGCAGACAAGGAAATGCAACTGTGATAATGGATAAAATTCAATATGAAAACAAAATGAAAGATCTAATAATAAACGGACCTTATACAAAATTAACAAAGGATCCAACAAAGCCTTTGGAAAACAAAATATATATAGAACTTTATTCAAGTTTAAAGATTGTTTAACAAGTTATCAGAGAGGATTAATTACACCTCATTACACTAAGACCCTCATTTTTATGGAGTACTGAAAATTCATAAAATGAATATACCACTTAGACCCATGTGTAGTACCATGAATTCTCTTTGTAGTGAACTATCAAAATTTTTATTAAATATTTTAAAATCATTTCCAAATAAAAATGACAAGTTCATAAAAATACACATTTTTTAAATAAATTATATCTTATATATTAATAAATATATAAGATATAAATATATATTAATATTGAATTTAATTCAAATAATACTTTGGTAAAAATATAATCATATTATAATTATATATAAATATAATATAAATTCCTCGGCAGAATGTAGTAGGATCTGGTTACCAACATTGAAAGAGGAAGTTATTAATAAGAAAATATGAGTATTAGTAAGTCAGTAACATATAGAGCACATATAGAGTAACATATTGATGTTTGTTGAAGGTAAACAAATACTTACAATGTCGGGATAGTATTATGAGGTTTTTTTTCCTGTTTTTTCCCTCATAATTTACTATGGAATCACTAACAGGAGAATTTTACTGTCATCATGTCATGTGTTTGTCTTTTTAAAGACGAATTACGTGCTATGATTTTTTTCTGACGGATATTCTCAAGTTAAAGTTGATTTCATGTAATTGAATGAACTATCTTATAAGTAAAGTCGTCCCAGGAGCCAATTCAACAATATTGGCAATATCATTTTAAAGTCGTCTACTTTAAAATGCGTAATGTATGTCTGAATTGTCCATATAAATGAGTCAGACAAATTAAATTATTAGAAGAATTTTTCACTATGTAACAAAAAAACAAAATTTTGTTTAATTTACTGTTTGTATTTGAGAACGATTTCCGAAATGGAAATTGAAACGTCAATAAACGTATTTTATCTTTAATTGTGGCTTTTCCCAGTTAATAGTAATTAATACTTGGTAAGTTTTGACATAAATAGTTTATTTACGAATGTGCCATTAAAGAAGACTTTAAATATAGTCAAGACAAAATTGAGTGATGATTCATTGACAACTAAAACAAGACTAAACATATCAGCTATAATGGAGTTATTAACATTATGTACTGATAATACATATTTTCAACTAAATAATGAGTTCTATAAACAAAATTTTGGTCTAGCAATGGGCTCTAGTTTATCTCCATTATTAGCCAATATATTTATGGAAGATTTTGAAACAAATATCATTTCTAAACAAAATTTAAAACCCACAGTATGGTAGAGGTATGTAGATGATGCATTCTCAATATGGCCTCATGGATGAGAGTTGTTGGACACATTTCTAAATGATATAAACGATAAAGAAGAGACATAACATTTACCATGGAAGAGGAATATAATAACACTCTACCTTTCCTGGATGTTTTAATCTCTAAGAACGATACTGGATATATGAGACTTAGGTGTATAGAAAACCAACATGCACCAATAGATATTTAAATTTCAAATCAAATCACAATGTTAATATTAAAAAGGGAATCATTAAATCCTTATATGATAGAGCCAAGATTACTTGTTCTAACAAAAATTCGTTCTTGAAAGAGAAACATTTGTTAACATCTGTTTTATTAAAAAATGATTATCCTTTATTGTTTATAAATAAGGAATTTTCAACAATTGATCGAATAGAACAGAACAACTTAGAACGAGATCCTACAGCATACACAAGGAATAATATGAGGAAAATAACAATACCGTAATATAAAAGGATTATCAGAAAAACTTAAAAGGATAGGAAATAATTCAACATTTCAACAACATTCAAAACAGCAAACACATTGAGATCTATTTTGTCCAAAACCAAACTAACAGTGAACAAGAAAGGACAAAGAATTGCATTTATAAAATACCTTGTGAATGCAATCAGTTTTATTTAGGTGAAACATCAAGACCATTAAATGTTAGAATAAGTGAACATCAATCTTATATTAAAATAGAGAATTTGATAGATCTCAAATATGTAAACACGCATGGGATAATGAACATAGGGTTCAATGGATATATTCAAATGTAGTCCTAAAAGAAAAGGATGGTAAAAAAAGAAAAATCAAAGAAGCGGCTCTAATTATGCTAAAATGAGACCAATTGTGTCGCAAATTCCTTGGCAGAATGTAGTAGGATCTGGTTACCACTATTGAAAGAGGAAGTTATTAATAAAAAATACCAGTATTAGTAAGTCAGTAACATATAGAGGATACATCATTTATGTTTTTTAAATAACGAAACATATAAAATCAGAAATTGGTGTTTATTATGAAGGTAAACTAAATGCACGACCAAATACCATGTCAGGATAGTAGTATGAGGTTTTTTTCCTGGTTTTCCCTCATGTCCCATAATATCATTTTAAAGTCGTCTAAACATATGTTTTTGTCAATATAAACATATGTTTACCCTTTAATGTGGCTTATTCCCAGTTAAATAGTAATTAATTGTAACATTGTATACAATATTTTTCTCAAAAAATTTATTGAGTAAGTTTTTACAACTCCATGGTAAGTTGTAATACAAGAAAGCAGTATTACTGTAAATAACATTTAAGTCAATTTAAGGTACGTTTTTACTGGGGCGTCTGTTGCGATTATCTGATCATCACTGAGTAATGATCGCTAAGACATGATTGCAAGCAGAGTGTTTTTACTGAATCGATGATTTGATTAGTGAGTTGTCCATTGTCTAGTGGTTTTTGTTGCAGCGATGAGAGTATGTAAAGAAAACAATTATTGTTAAAATACCTGCTAATAGAAGAAATAGAGGATGAAGAAATGTTAGAAATGGTAAGTGTTCCAAGATTAGAAAAACATGCAATATTTAAAAGAACAATTTATTAGAAGATAATGTTAAATTTACACAGTTCTTCCTTTTGAATGAACTTCAGTTTGATTTTGTGTTAAGTTTAGCAAAACAGGATATGAAAAAGTCATCTACAAAATCTATTCCATATCCAATGTCTCCAGAAGAGAATCTCTCAAATAAAAAACTCTCAAGTGAAAACATACCTTTACCAGGCTCTTCTAATCAGGAAGATGACAGACAAGAAGTAAATTCTTTATTATTAACTGCTGAGCATAGTGAGCATGTCTTAAATCTTAAAAACAAAATAATAACCCTTACATCAACTAACTTCTTCCGATAAGAATAAGGTACCAAATATTCACAGCGCATTACATACTCAAGATACATTGACAGAGGAAACTTCTACATGCAACAATGGTACAAGTTCATCATTAAATATGTCTGTTAAGAAAAACAATACCCAATGAAGAAAAAACTCTGAAGGGAGAGATAAAGGGATCCAAGTGTTTGGAAAATGAATGTCTTGAAGAAACTGTAGAACTGTAGGCAATATTATACTATTAAAACTGGAAAATTAACGAAAATGAGCGAATTGGGACCTGGATGTAACAAGAAATGAAAATCGAAATTATCTGAAAATGATACACTTATTGAATAATAATTTTTGGGAAATCGCTGATCATCACAAACAGACTGATTATTTATGTAATTATTTCTCAGACAAGAGAGAAAGGTTACAAAGTTAAAAGAATCCAGAAGAAACTGGACATATGAATATAATTTATAGTTTGCAGAACACCGATTCTGAGAAGTTTGTAAAAAAATACTTTTGGACAATTTTAACATAAGATATGTGGTTAGCTATGCTATTTAAAAAATTGATAGAAATATACTTTGTTGAAATATCATTGTATCAACCACTTACAATGATGTTCACCTAAAATTCTTGAAAAACTTGGTTGTGTAGCTAGACCTAAATCAGGACCAGTTAAGAAAACTACAAAAATATTAAAACTAATGAAGTAAAAAAATAAAATGTGAAAATTTTTTTAAATCACTCTCCTCGAAACTAAGCAAAAGTGATTTAGAATGTATATCATATCAGGTGTCGATATGTGAAACATGTTGATCATTGTACATGGTAATATAAATCTTTGCTATATTTATTATTTTCAAATATGAATGTATATTGTACACAAATTTCTGATAGATAAATTTTTATTTTCAATTAGCATTGTATACTAAATTAAAGATAGTGATAATATCACGACTTTTTTAATCTGATGTATTCAAAATCTATATTTTTTTCATTTTTTTTTTATTCTGTACAAATAGTTGATTTTACTGGCCAAATTGGTTTGAGAATTATTAATAATTTCCACCAAACTTATAGTAAAATTTTGAAATTATCTTTCCTAAATAAGTGCTTCAAATTGAAGTTATTATGTCCAAATATACAATGTGTATTTTTATTTAAAGTATTTTTATAAAAAAATATACTCTAAGCAAAAAATGTATAGTTTTTTCAAAAAATTAGATTAGATTTATTTGTAATTGAAAATTTTCATTATTATTATTCAATTTTTAATTATTTTTCATTCATAACTCAAAATCTTTATTTTTATCGAAAAAATTTGTACATACCCAAGTAAGCCAGGTGGCTGAATCGCATTCACTTAACTGTGAATTATCTAGCAGAAGATATTTCAGGTCCTGGTCAGAAAACAACAAGACTAGTAGTAGTAGTTTAAAATTTTAAATGAATCTTCTATTTGAGACTGGAATATGTTGGTGTATTCAACCTATGTATAAGAAATATGGCAAGAAGATTGAGGGCTTGTGTCTCAGTGTTAATTACCTACCAGAAGTTCGGGTATGCTTATATATTAAGCTGGAATGGTAGGGAAATTTGCATGGTGTGGTCAGCAATATCTTCCAATTTAGGGTTATAATTGTAAAAGCCTAACGGTATACACAGGAAATTAGAAAGAAAAATTACTAAATCATCCATAAACATTGAGAGTTAATTTTAGAGAAAAACCTATCGCACATTGAAATCAAAAGTGGCATTATACAAAATTCGGTGATTTTTAGTTACAGCGACATCTAAAATCTACTGAGCAAAACTACATCTGTTGCAAAGACCTCCGTTGTAATAGCTCGCTCGGTTTTCTGTAGACGTCGCTAATGTCACTTCTTACTTTGTTGTCGCGAGCATGGGTCGTGACCGATAAACCGACACTAAACCAATAAAGGTCCAGCCGTCGCAACGAGTCTTAGCTGAGGTAAGTGAAAAAGTGACATATTTTGTATAATGTCGTTTTTTTAATTACGTGATAATAAAAATACAACAAATTATGATGTCGGTATTGGCATATTTTGTAAAGTGCCGATATTTTACTCAACTATTCCAGATAACTGTGTTTATATAGAATAAATAAGGGGCATATTGTGCTTAGTGTCATTTTTGTGGTTTAAATGTCATATTTTTAATTTATTGCATATTAAATAGACGTCATTTTAAGTAAAATGTCATTGTTTTATTTAAAAATGTATATTTAATTAGATAATTAGGATATTAAACACCGACATTTAAAGTATTATTCGACATTTAATATACATATTAAAAGAATTTAATATTAGTTTGTTCGTACCTAAAAAGGACCAATGTGAACAATGCACAATATATAAGCTGGCTGAAGATCCCAGAAAGGAAGCTTCGAAGGAAGATTATGACCGCCATTTAGCAGAAAAACAAAAAAAGTCACGAAGAAAAAGCTAGTGACAAAGAGAAAGTGACAGATCGTTTTATCGTTGCATGCTAGGACTTACAAGCGGTAATGACGGTTCCTAAAGGAGACGTATCAACATTCTATTATAAGTCCAAAATAAATTGTTTGAATTTTACCACATCGGAGTTGAAAACAGACAATGTTACTTTTGGGATGAATCTCAAGGCAATCGTGGAGCCAATGAAATAGGTAGCTGTGTTTTGAAGTTTTTGCAAAAGAAGTCTTCTGTCGCTAATAAAGATCTTGATATAGTGTTCTATTCTGATAACTGCTGTGGCCAACAGAAGAAACAGGTGATCATTGGAATGTACGTCTATGCAGTATTAAATCTCAAAGTAAAATTAATAACCCATAAGTTCTTAATCCGAGACCACACACAAAATGAAGGGGACGCAGTACATTCAACGATTGAGAAGGAAGTAAAAAAAAGTCTTAAATCTGGACCCATTTACGTACCTTCCCAATACGTCTGTGCCATCAGAAGTTCGAAAAAAACGTGGGACGCCGTACATTGTAAATGAGATGGGATACGAAGATTTTATGGATTTGAAACAACTGCCAGTTATTAAGCTAAATAGGAGTGTTGATAGTGCGGTTTGTAAAGTTGTGTGATATAAAAGTCATTAAAATTGAAAAGAACGTAATGAATGAGATTAAAATATTCTATAAAATGTCTTATTTTGATGACTTGAAGGAACTTGATTTGGCAAAAAGAAACATCCAGAAACAGCCGACCTCAAGAACTTAAACCATTGTACCACCAAAAATTGGATATATCCGAAAGGAAGAAAAATTACTGAGGAGTCTTGTGGATGAGGTATTCCTGGATATTACCGATCCTACTATGAAATTATTTTTATCTGAAAATGTAATAGCTCTTAAGCATTAAGTATCACATTTTTACAAATGCCTATTTGCATTTTTTGTTACGATTCGTTTATTTTCTTAGTTTATTTTGATAGTCTTAAAATATTTTATTTTAATTAAAACATTGCGTATATTGTCGTGACTGATTCGAGTAAGACTTTCTTTTGTAGTACATACAAATAAAATACTTTATTCATCTAAAATTAGTTTTTATTTTATTCCTGACATTCATTTACTTAATTGGAGTAGTAGAATAGTAGAAGAGTTAATGAAATAAATATGCCATTAAACAAAAAATAATTGATTGTATAAAAACAAAAGTGACACTATACTGAATTTTTTTTTCAAATACCTTTTTTTTCAACAAACATTAGTTAATTTATTTAGAAGTTATTTTATACTGAAAAGAGATAATTAAATTATTATTTAAAACTTATCACATTGCTTGTTTTTAATTTATTTTTAAGTATGGGCATAAAAATTCATGTTAAAAAACTTTAAACAGCTATACTGTAAAATTGAATTTTTTATATAGTGCCACTTTTGATTTCAATGTGCGCTATACTGTCAGATTTTCTCTCTGACTACAGTTTAGCAAGTATAATTATATGTATCTAACTTTTTAAATTTAAATTGGAAACATTTTTCTCTCCATATTATGTCTTAAATTGTGCATTAGTGTAGGATGAAAACAATATTACCTACTTGGGTGAAAATGTTAATGATAACTGGGATATAAATAAAGAAATAAGAATACACATTGAAAAAGCCAGAGCCGCCTTCTATAAATTAAAGAAAATTCTAATTAATAGAAATATTATGTTAAACCTTAAAATCAGATTAATATGCTGCTACATATTCATCACATTGCTGTATGGTATGGAGAGCTGAACCCTTACAGAGACATTAATGAAAAAATTAGAGGCCTTTGAGATGTGGATTTATCGACGATTATTGCAGATAAGTTGGGTTGATCAAATAAGAAATGAAATAGTTTTACATCGCATGAAAAAAGAGCACATAAACGATAAAAATTTGAAAGTTACAATTATTCGGTCATGTAATGAGACATCTATTGAGGTATAACCTTCTACACCTCATAATACAGATTAAGATCGCTGGTAGGAGACAACCCAGGCCGACGAAGAACATCCTGGCTCCGAAATTTCGAGAATGGTATCAAGAGACCACCGCTAATATATTTAGAGCTGCCGTAAACAAAGTTATTAGTGCCAATATGATCGCCAACGTTCGATAATCGGACAGTGTACTGAAAGAAAAAGAAGAAAACAATAAGATATTTTGTTTAGAGGATAGTTTAG